GAAAACCAAGTCTGGGTGCACTAATTCTGTAGTCGATCCCTACACGAGAAAAGGAAGGATAACAAACGGGAGTGTGGCGAATCGGCTCATGCAGCCGATTTCCCTGGCGCCTCCCGGCGCCAGAGGCGCCGGTGTGTCGAGGAAGGCGCGTGGCGGTGGGGCCGAAACCAGCTGCACGCAGCAAGTTTTGTAACCCTTTCTTTCCCGAAGTATTCACCCCTTTCGTCCGACCCGGATATTGAAAACCTACATGATCGGAGTGAGGGGGCCGAGCGGTCATTCACTGTCCCTGGGTGCGCTGCTGAAATGGGGTTCCGCGGTGCGGATTGTTGTTTTTGTTGTTGTTGCTGCTGCTGTTGCTGTTGTTGTTGCTGTTGTTGTTGTTGCTGTTGTTGCTGTTGCTGGTGTTGCTGCTGTTGTTGTTGTTGTCGTTGTCGTTGTCGTTGTCGTTGTCGTTGTCGTCGTTGTTGTTGTCGTTGTTTTTGTTGTTGTTGAGGTTGTTGTTGTTGTCGTTGTCGTCGTCGTCGTCGTCGTCGTCGTTGTTGTTGATGTTGATGTTGTTGTTGTTGTTGAACATTATTTATTCTAAAGAATAATTATTGTTGGGCCCCCTGGTGCGCGCCCCCCCTGCGCCGCCTAGGCCGCAGCTACATTTTCATCATTTTCGTGAGGAAGCCTCAGAAAAGAGGGTGTGTACAGGATCCGGTTGTTTTGTTGTAATCCGCTTTCCCTTGCAAAAAACAATAGAAAATGACATTTCTTGTTCTAATATAATCAAATTTCAAGAATCCCTTGCAAAAAATAAGGTAAAGTGGACATTCGCGCGCGCAAGACGAAATCCTTCCAAAAGCTTAGTGTTCGGAGCGATTTTAACATAAAAACATCAAAAAACCAATGGTTTTTCAACAAAAAAATGTCAAAATCTCATCCCGCGCGCTCTTGCGGATTCGTAGGAAACCCAACACTTTTTTAAACATTTCTGTCAAACGGGCTTTTGCGAGCAACTTTTTCGAACTTCTGCGACAACGGTTGCGCACCTGCCAGGGCCATCATCCCTGTCAAATAATACCATGCGGGACACATTCGTTTTTTCTTCGCGCGCGCACGCCGAAATCTCCAAAAACCATTGGGCTTCTTAAGAATTTTAGCACCGCGCATCATAAAATCACACGAATCGCACCGTAGGTCCTCGAAAAACACCTGCACGACTTTTCAAAATTTCTACCCGCGCGCGCTGTCCGAATCCTAAAAAAACCAATGGTTTTCCAACATTTATGTTACATGAGCTCGCGCGAGCTACTTTCGCACGCTCTTGCAACGGGGTTCGCGCGCCTGCCAGGGGCCACAATCCCTTGCGGTTGCGCCATAGGTTGCGCCCTCGGCCGCCGAGAATAAAACGTCCCCCTATTGGTTGCGCCATAGGTTGCGCCCTCGGCCGCCGAGAATAAAACGTCCCCTTACTGGTTGCGCCATAGGTTGCCCCAGGAGGCCTTCAAGTTGCCTGGGTTAACAAGGCTTAACAACTTCTGTGGGTGTACGAACGTAGGCTTAACAACTTCTGTGGGTGTGTACTCCACGCCAGTGTAGTAGCCACGGTCGTCCGCAGGCCACGAAGTGAAGTGTCCGAACGTCATAGGGCGGGAAGCTGGGTGTGGGTGGTGGCGAAGAGTCGTGTGGATATTTGGTAGAGCTTGCACTGCCCCCCCACAAAGTGGGGGTATTGGCTGGCGTCGCATGAAAACCCTGGCACTGGTGAGAACACTGAGCGTTCGGGTAAAGTGATTGTTGTTGTTGTTGTTGAATTCCCACTCCCGAACATAAAATATTGTAGATCCCCCCTGCCCAGTGAATCTTGTATTTTTCCATTGGAATGCCCCCCTGGGGGCTCGCCCCCTTTTCTTAATCAGGGCAAGTCTTGAAAGTCAAACTGCGCCCCTGGGGGCGGCTTCCGCCTGATACGTCGTCACAACTTATTGAAAAGTCAAGCTTCGGGTGAGACTCCATTGCAATTTACTCCGGAATCACGCTCTCGCCTGAAACTCCCTCAAAATTTAACCAGATGCCGCTCCTCGGCACTCCAGAATCGTGCTCTCGCTTTGGACTTCCTCACGATTTACTTGGGAATCGCGCAGCATTCACGCTTCAACGATCCGCCCGCTCGACACGCCCGTCGGGGCCTGCCCGCCCGACCAGCAGTCGCCGCTCGCTACCCTTTGCCCGCCTTCAATGCCCCTCGTGGCCAGTACTGGTTCCGCGGTCGCCTTCGCTCGCTGCTTCTCGTGGCCCAGTTGGTTCCCTCAGTGTCCCCGTCGTTGCCCTTTGTGGCAGCGCATTATATGCCCTTCGTGGCCCCCGATCGCACGCGCCCGTCGTGGCCCCATATGCATGCCCTTCGTGACCCCGCTGTCGCCCTTTGTGCCCCCCACGCTGCCCTTCGTGGCCTCTTTGCTGCCCTCAGTGGCCCCGCTGTCGCCCTTTGTGGCCCCATATCGTGGCCCCTGCTCGCTCGCGCCCGTCGTGGCCCCATATGCATGCCCTTCGTGACCACGCTGTCGCCCTTTGTGGCCCCATCGCTGCCCTTCGTAGCCCTGGTGCTACCCTCAGCGGCCCCGTCGCTGCCCTTTGTGGCCCCTTATATGCCCTTCGTGGCCCCCGCTCGTTCGCGTCCGTCGTGTCTCCATATGCATGCCCTTCTTGGCCCTGCTGTCGCCCTTTGTGGCCCCCTCGCTGACCTTCGTGGCCCTTTTGCAGCCCTCAGTGGCCCCGCTGTCGCCCTTCGTGGCCCTATACATGTCTGCTCTTCGTGGCCCCCGCTCGCACGCGCCCGTCGTGGCCCCTATATGCATGCCCTTCGTGGCCCCGCTGTCGCCCTTTGTGGCCCCCTCGTTGACCTTGGTGGCCCTTTTGCTGCCGTCAGTGGCCCCGCTGTCGCCCCTTGTGGCCCCATATGTGTATGCCCTTCGTGGCCCCCGCTCGTTCGCGTCCGTCGTGCCCCTAGATGCATGCCCTTCGTGGCCCCGCTGTCGCCCTTCGCGGCCACATCGCTGCCCCTCATGCCCCGTTTCTGCCTTCAGTGGCCCCGTCCTTGCCCTCATCGGCCCCGCATACGTATGCCCTTCGTGGCCCCCGTGGGAATCGCACTATCGCTCAGGAGTTCCTCGCGATTCATGCAGGACGCACGTTTCAGCAACCCGCCTGTTCGACCTGACCGCCTGGGTCCGCCTTCCCGACCCGCCCGTTAGGGTCTGCCCGCCCGATCTGCCCGTCTGGTTCTGCCAGGTATTTTCTGCTCCTAACCCCCTCCTGCTTTTCTCTCTCGCGCTCCATCCTCCTCACTCCCCGTTGTCCCTTCCTTCCATCCGTCCTCTCTTCCCCTGCCTTAGCGGCTGCGTGAGATTCCCATTCCAGGTCAGAAAGATATACCCCTAAGAAGGCACGATCGAAGACGAAGAGGGCGGGTACCGAGGGTTTTGGATATACGTGATGAACGGCACGCGAACAAGTAAGAGCGAACAGTCTTGAACTGCTTGCCGTTGTTGTTGTTGCTGCTGTTGCTGCTGCTGTTACTGTTGTGGTTTGTTGTTGTTGTCGTCGTCCTCGCCCGCGACCCGCCGGCGACCCGCCCGCGACCCGCCCGCGACCCACCCCGCGACCCACCCGCGACCCGCCCGCGACCCGCCCGCGACCCGCCCGCGACCCGCCCGTAACCCACCCGCGACCTTCCCCGCGCCCGCCCCCTCACTCTTATCCGCATCTGCGGGGCGCTGCATATCACTTACGGGTCTTCAGAGGTCCGACCTCGTGATCTTGTCCATGCGGGGCCCCCAGAAGTCTCGACCCGTTCCCCGGGACCGGCTCCTCATCCCGAGTCGTTTTCGGACGGGCCTGGGGCCTGGGGATCGCCAGGCCCCGGGACATATCGTATGTATGAATGTATGCATGTATGCATGTATGCATGTATGCATGTATGCATGTATGCATGTATGCATGTATGCATGTATGCATGTATGCATGTATGCATGTATGCATGCATGCATGCATGCATGCATGCATGTATATATGTATATATGTATGTATACATGCATGTATGCATTGTATGTATGCATGCAGGCATGCATGCATGCATGTATGCATTCATGCATGCATGCATACATGCATGCATGCATGTATGTATGTATGTATGTGTCTGTATGAACGTGTGTAGGTATGCGGTCGTATATCCCCAAAAATCAATACGATGACACACACAAATCATTACAGCAAAGCATGGAACACAGACATCATTGCAAAACGAAGAAAACATACAAAACAAGCGTAATGAAACAAACATTACGCGAGGAGGTCAGGGGAGGGCCCCTGGAGGCCAAAACATTAGAAGAACCTCCGCCTTCGATTTTCCCAGTGCGCTGGATCTCTCTGCCCCCTGTGGCTCGGGGGCCTCCCGCGGCCGTCCGGCACGACCCGGGCTCCCCCCCCCCCCCCAGGAAGCGCCCTCGACGAGGCGCGCGCAGCCGCTGATTTTTTCCCCGACGGCAGCCTGAAGCAGCACCAACATCTGCCCAACAACTCACGCCTGGTTGCTTTCCCGGCCGAGGCATCCCCGAGGCATCCCGAGGCGGGACGACCCAGAGATCCGACGTCGTGATTTTTTCAGTGCGGGGTCCCAGGAAGTCTCGACCCCTTCCCCAGGACCGGTTCTTCACCCTGGGCCGTTTTTTGCCGGTCCCGAGGCCCAGCGAGGGCCCCCGGGGGCCGCAAGTTGTGAAACACCTCCGTCTTGATTCTCTCCATCTCCTCCTCCTCCTCCTCCCCCTCCTCCTCCTCCTCCTCCTCCTCCTCCTCCTCCTCCTCCTCCGCCTGCTATGCGTTGGATCTCTGGGGGCCGCCGAGAGCCGACGTGACGAGCACGCGAGCAGACCGCCACAAAGGGCCGACGAAGGCGCCCGAGAGAGCAGGCCGCCGCTGCCGCCGCCGCGGCGCCCGCGCGGGCCGCCGCCGTCCTCGCACTCCCCCTCGGGCTCGCTGGTGCTCTCGGCCGGCGGCGTGGTCCGGGGCCCGAGGGGCCTCTGGCATCAGGTCGGGCCTGTCCCCCTGCAGGGGGATCTTGGGCGAACGAAAGAAGATACTCAACATTTGGAGTATCTGACTTCTTTCGCCCAGAATCTTACAGAAAACAAGACGTCTTGCAGAAAAAGAAGACATGCACAACACATACAAGACATAACCCAAGAAACAAGACCAGCGAACAAAGACAAGACATACAGGTGGTTTCAGAAATCACAGGACCATCAGATGTCAGGGAAAAAACGCCACCACTGATCAAACATGCTCCAAAAATCGTCCCCAGACTATTGCTCGACGATTTTTGAACACTCCTCCTGTAGAGGGACGTGCCCGACGTAACTCTTGCAGCGCGCGCCGCGCACGCGCGACCGGCCGAGGCGGTGCACGGCCCGTCGTACGAGACCGATGTTGCATCACAGCAGCCATTCGGCCTCTGACGTTCGTCCCGGGCTCGGCTTCGTGAAGTGATGCATTTCGGGGTCCCTACGTGGGAAAAAACATCACTTCACTGACCTGGGGCCCCTGGGGCCTCAGTGGGCCCTGGGGCCCATAATTAGTGAAGCGATGGTTTTCGGGCCTCGGAGAAAACTTGGACGTGCCACCCGTCGTTTGACGAAGTCGATCTGGACCTCTGTCAGCTCGGGCTGCCCTCGAATCTGGCGTCTTGGGGTAGCGGTGTGGCGCGCGTGATGCGATATGCTCGTTCTCAGGGCGGGGCCCCAGATTCGTGACGTGATGGCTTTCGGGCTTCGGACCGTCGGCCGGTGGCGGGCTTCGCCCGCGCTCCGCGCCGCGGCAGCGCTCCCGGAGCTCCGGGCGTCGCACGCGCTTCGCAGCGTGCGTCCTCTCGCCCGGGCGTCGGGCCCCCGGGCCCTCACAGGTCCATCGGGCTCGATCCTCCTGCTCCTTCCTCCTCCTCCTCCTCCCCCCCCTCCTCCTCCTCCTCCTTCTCCCTCCCCCTACTCCATCTCCTCCTCCTCCTCCTCCTCCTCCTCCTTCCTCCTCCTCCTCCTCTCCTCCTCCTCCTTCCCCCTCCCCCTCCTCCCCCTCTCTTTCCCCTCCTCCTCCTCTTCCTCCTCCTCCTCCTCCTCCTCCTCCTCCTCCTCCTCCTACAGGGTCCCCGGAAGTCTCGACCCGTTCCCCGGGACGGGCTGCTCGTCCAGAGTCGTTGTTTGACGGTCCCGGGGCCTGGCGAGGGCCCCCTGGAGGTCGAACATTGTGAAGCACTTCCGCCCTGATCTTTTCAGCGCGCTGGATCTCTGGGAACGGCGCAGGAAGAAAGGGCCTAGGGAGCTCCAGTGGTGATGTTCTGTCACTGCTTCCAGCGTCGGCTCTGAGGGGATCTCCAGGGACGTGCCTTGCTTTGGGTCGGGCGTGCCCCCCTACAGGCGGATTTTGGACGACAAGTGACGAATAGTCAAAAACAACTGCTCAAACATATGCAAAACATCGGCCACATGTTTGTTCGGACTCGATTTGAACATTCCCGAGGGACGCGCCCGACTTAAGCCGTGTTCCGCTGGGGGGGCTTCTTGCTTCGACCTCCGCCGCGACGGGGGCCGCCTGCGGGCCGCGCGCGGGACGATCTCCAGCGGACCCGGGGGCCGGGGGCGAGAGGAGTGCCCCCGCGGGAAGCGGTCGGGGGCCGTGGGCTTCGAAGGCCAAGTCGTGGTTCCCCCAAACCCAGACACGACCGCGTCGTGCAGAAATCAGGACGGAAAATTTTGGCCGATTTTGGCCTTGGGGGGCCGGGACCGTCAAAAAGCGTCTCAGGAGGAACAACCGGTCCTGGGGAAAGGGTCGGGACGTCCAAGGACCCCGTATAGAAAACATCAAACGGCCGCATGTCTCGGAAAAGAGCCCCTAACCCTTTGGGAGGAGACCGGAGTCAGGAGGGCCAGACATCTTGGGGACACGGGGGTCTCTCTCTGCAGATGTATCAGGCCAAACACCGCCCAGATCTGGCCAGTGTCCTTATTATGCGACGACGGGGACCCAGAGATCCGACGTCGTGATTTTTTCCATGCGGGGTCCCCAGAAGTCCCGACCCCTTCCCCAGGACGGGCTTTGCATCCTGCGTCGTTTTTGACGGCCCCGCGGCCCGACGAGGGCCCCTCGAGGCCGAAAAATGCGAAAAACCTACATCTTGATCTTTTCGATGCGTTGGATCTCTGGGGACCTCGGCGAGGCCACGCCTTCGTAAAGGGGTCCTTTCGTGCCCGAGGAGGTCGGGCCGTGTCGGGGCCCTCTCGTTGAGCAGGGACCGACCGTCTCGGCATTCCTATAGTCATACCACGAAGTGTTCTTAGAACCCAAAAATGTTCCAATAACAAAAACAATTCTCTCAAAACAGAAACCCGATGTGATAAACCAAGATGCGCCCAGCCAGACATGTTCTAAGAACATCTCGTGGAAACCACAAAAAGGTTCTTAGAACATTTCTTGGTAGGGCTATATAGGCGAGCCAGGACGCTTCGCCACTGCTGGAGTCAGCGAGCGAAGAACGGTATAACATAAACTCTTTCGCTGTCGGGGGCGCCTGTCCCTGGGCGGCTGGAAAGTCTATACCCCTACCGTAAGGGTATACACTCTCCAGCCGCCCAGGGACAGGCGCCCCCGACAGCGAAAGAGTTTATTTTATGCCGTTCTTCGCCCGTTCATTGAGAGGTCGGGCCGTGCCGGGGCCCTCTCGCGAGGGGCCCACGGCCCGGCGAGGCCGGCCGGCGCGCCGGCCGGCGCAGGTGCCCCGCGGGCGGCCAGAGGCCCCCGCGGGGGCAAAGCCTCGGCGCCGCGGCCACGGAGCGGTGCGGAGCGGTGCGGAGCTGACGCCGAAGTCGGCACGACACGGACCCGCGGCACTCGAGCCCCACTTTTGGGAGGTCTCCAGAGGCTGCGCCGGCGGCGGAGGAGCACCGCGGGGACGGCGGCCGCCGGCGCCGCCCGCGCGGGAGCCGGAACCGAGGCCAGGGGAGTCTTCTTTCTGTTCCCTTGAGATCCTGGCTCCCAGAGATCCCACGTATCGAAAAATCAAGACGGAGGTTTTTCACATGTTTCGGCCTCGAGGGGCCCTCGCCGGGCCCCGGGGCCGTCAGAGAACGACTCAGGACGAGAAGCCGGTCCCCTGGGGGATGGGGCGGGCCTTCCGGGGACTCCGCACTGACAAAATCACGACGTCGGATCTCTGGGATGCCCGCCCCTCCGAGAACCTTCCGCGCAGCAGCTGCCGCCGAGACCGCGGCCGCGGCGGCCGCCGAGACCGCCGCCGCGGCCTGCGGCGGCGGCCGCCAGTGCGGCCGTCTCGGCGGCGGCCGCAGCGCAGCGTCGACGCCTCCCAGAAGATGCCGAAGGGAAAAATCGAGGGCAGAGCCTGCGGCCAGCTCGGGGGCCCCAAAGACCTCACCGCACGGTCCGTCACCGCACCGTCTTCGCACCTTGAAGGCCCCGGTTGCCTGAGGCGTCCTCGGAGAACGACTCCGGTCTCCAATCCCGTGCGGTCGCCCCGAATCACCACCGCCTCACCACACGGTGTGGTCACCGCACGCGCCAGAGCCAGAGTCCAAGCCGGAGCCCAGGCCCGAGCGCGAGCCCGACACCGAGTCGTCCGAGTTCCGTCTGGGGAGAAGACGAACACACGCCAGAGTACTACCACAGAGGCTTGGAGACGCATATCTGCGCCCCACATTTTGCACTGCTGTTCAATCCATCAAGCGTTGGCGGGAGAAGCTGAGATCCGATTTTGCGACAAAAATGGACACAAGTCGAAACATCACGCCCTAGACCCCATCATTCTGCCTCTTTTGGTAGGTGGATCCCTCAAGCTCTCCGCCGCCTCTGGCGGTGTGCGTTGCGAGCAGGAGCACAGCGAAGCCACATGAAAGCGCAGCGCTGACGGTGTAGCTCCGCACGCGTGATGCTAACGAGCAGCAGCGCAGCAAAGCCCCAGGAGAGCGAGGCATTGACAGCGTAGCTCAACATTGACATGGTGGTGGCCGGGGAGCCCCCGCGACATGTCCACGGGCGTTGCTCCATCCCTCGGGGGCCCTCCTTCGAGCATCGAGTGTAGTGTTTTTGCGCCCAGCGGCGCCGGTGCGGCCCGAGAGCGGCACCACCGCGCAGGTTTCTCCGGCCCGAGCCAGGGGCGGGGCGGCCTGCAGGGCGCGAGAGAGGTGAGCGACGGCTGGTGAGGCGGCGTCAGACGCCACCGCCGCCGTCGCCACTGGAGCACTCCAGCTGCCACCGCTCGGGCGTCCATTTCCCGCGCATGTTTCGGCTTCGCGCGTGGTTTTTTCGCCAAATGGTCAAGGATTCTCCTCGACGGTCCTCGCCGAGGGAAAAAATGCACACGTCCGAGCGATGGCAAGCCCAGGTTGGGTCCGAGTGTGGTCGGGAACTTTTGGACAGCGTGTCGCGGTTGCGGCCCCAGCGGCACGCTATGCCTTGCGAGTGGATAGCGTGTCGCTCCGCTCCGCGGGGCGGGAGGCTGGGGAAATGGCTCTGGACGTTGGCGCTTGGGGGCCGGGAAGTGGATGGCGTGGTGGGCCAGAACCAGCGGAGCGACACGCTATCCAAAAGTTCCCGACCGTAGATGGGGTCGTGATTCAGATCGGCGATGCATCGGCGATGCATCGGCGATGCATCGGCCGCCGATGCATCGGCGATGCATCGGCGACGTCGGCGGTGCATCGGCGCCGTCGGCGTGGAGAAAGCGGGGTTCCACATCGAACCGTATCGCCGATGTCAAGGCGATGGGGCGCGACTATCCGACCCCATCTACGCGGGCAGCATCTGGGAGGCCTAGAACGCGGCAGGAGCCTTTGTAAGTTTTGGACGCTCGCTTGCGTGTGCTTCTTCGCTCTCTCTGACTGCTGTTGGGCCCCCAGGAGCATTCAGAAGCCTCCGGGCCTCCGGGGACCTCTGCACACCTCCGAGAACACCACCTCAGACTAGTCCCAGCATGAAGTCGCCGCAGAGGGAACACTCCAGCTCGTCGATAAACGCGAAGAGGTGCAGACGGGGTTCCATTCTCGATTCAAACGATTCTCCCTGGATTTGGCCAGCCCGACAAGCCTAGGCTCACGGGCCTGGGCGGTCGGATACCTCGTGGAGGGCCTCAGCGCCACAAAGGAACCGCGACGTGCGTTTTCGCTACGTCTCGGGCCCGCCAGGGCCCTGGCGGCTCGATCATGCCCCAGAGACGCTGCGATTTTCCCACGACGTCGGGCACCTGGTGCGCAGGAGGACGCCAGCTGTGCACCGACACTGGTTCTGGCTTGGCCAGCCTCGAGCCCAGAGTCGGTGCATGCGCCATGCCGGCTGGGCCTGGGGGGCGATGCCGGGCCGGAACCGGTGTCGGCGTCCAGCTGGCGTCTCCCGACCACTGCGAGCACATCGAGAAGAGAACGCCCCACAGCGCTTGCACAGCGATGTGCTCGCAATGGAGACAGCCTGGCGAGGGAGAAGGGGAGGAGGAGGAGGAGGAGGAGGAGGAGGAGGAGGATGAGGAGGAGGAGGAGGAGGAGGAGGACGAGGAGAGAGGAGAAGGAAAGGAGGAGACAGGAGGAGGAGGAGGAGGAGGAGGAGGAGGAGGAACAGGAGAAGGAGAAGATCTTCTTTATGAGGGAGCACAGCGACAGCACGACGCGCGGATGTCTCGATTCGGCGCTAGGCACCCCACCCATGCGCGCGCAGCGCGCCAGGGGGCGGCGCCTCCAGGGGGGTCCCAACGCCGATCTCCAGGAGATCCGCGATCTACTGGAAAATCCACGCTTACGTCTTCAACGCAGGGCCCTAGAGGCCGAAGTCCATGGACAAAACAAACGGGCAGACAAACGCCGGATCGCCGTAGCGAGGAGGAGGAGGAGGAGGAGGAGGAGGAGGAGGAGGAGGGGGAGGAGGAGGGTAGGAGGAGGATGAGGAGAGGAGGAGGAGGAGGAGAGGGAGGAGGAGAAGGAGGAGTAAGGGAGGAGAAGGGAGGAGGAGGGAGGGAGGAGGGAGGAGGGAGGGAGGGAAGGAGGAGGGAGAGGAGGAGGAGGAGGGGGAGACGGAGGAGAGGAGGGGAGGAGGAGAGGGAGGAGAGGGGAGAAGAGGGGAAAAGGAGGGAGGTGCAGCTGATGCAACGAAGCCCCGAGCCTCTGCAGGGCGGGCCGCGGCCGTTGCGGCGCCAAGGGGGCGGAGGCGCCCTGGGCGCCGCGCCCCTGCTCCCCCCCCATCCCGAGGGGAGGGCCCTGCGGGACGGGCGCCTGCCCGGCGGGCGCCGCGCCAGAGCGGGGGAGGCGCTGGGCTGGTACTCGTCCTCGGACTCCCTCGGCCTGTCCTCCTCCTGCGGGCGGGCGAGGGGGATGGGGGAGGTGGAGGGGCAGAGGGAGATGGTGGGGAAGGTGGAGGGGGAAGGGGTGGGGGCGAAGGGGGGTGGAGGGGGGGAGGGGAGAGAGGAGGAGGAGGAGGAGGTAGGAGGAGGAGTGAGGAGGAGGAGGAGGGGAGGAGGAGGAGGAGGAGGAGGATGAAGGTGGGGATGAGGAGGCGGAGGAGTGAGGAGGAGGCGGAGGAGGAAGGAGGAGGAGGAAGGAGGAGGCGGAGGAGGAGAGGAGGAGCGGAGGAGGAGGTGAGGTGTAGGAGGAGGAAGGAGGACATAAGGAGGAGGAGGAGGAGGAGGTGGAGAGGAGGAGGAGGAGGAGGAGGAGGAGGAGGCAGGAGGAGGAGGAGGAGGAGGAGGAGGAGGAAAAGGAGAAGGAGGAGGAGGAGGAGGGCGCTGAGGGCGCTGATGATGCGGCCAGATCCAACTGGCCCTGCTACCGAGGCTGTCGCCTCCACTGAGGGAGCCGAGGGCCGAGCCGATGCCCAGCCAGGATTTCGAGGGGCGCCCAGCGTGACGACGAGAGAACGCCAGGGCCCGAGAACCAAAACCCAAAGAGGCGGATCCAGCCGCGGCGACGCCAACCAGCCGAACGACCGCCTAACAGCGCCACCGCCGCCCGCGGCGAGGCGCGCAGCAGCTCAGATCACTATCGCATCGCGAGGAAGCCTCACGCCTCTGGAGGCGCGCCGCCGCTCTCCTCGCCGAGCAGCTCGCCGCGGGGCCTGGAGCGCAAGGTCCACGCCTGGTGGGCCAGGGCGACCTGGCGCCATTTCTCCCCGAACCTCATGGTCGCCGCCGCGCGGACAGCCTCAGGGATGCTGAAGAAGAGGCGCTCCGCGCCCTGGCCCACGGGGTCGCTGCTCTGCTCACCCATGCCGTCGCTGTCATTCTTGCTGTCGGGCCCCAGCAAGTCCTCGACCGACGTCTGCGTCTGCTCTGAGACCTCGAACTCCGTTGCGATGGCATCGCCGTCGCTGCCCTTCGCAGCACTGCCGTCGCTGCCCATGTCGCTCTGGGGCCCCAGCATGTCCTCGACCGACGCGTGAACCTGCTTTGAGGCCTCGAACTCCGCTCCGATGTCAGTGCCATTGTCATCAGTGCCGTCGCTGTCATCCTTGCTGAAAATCCCCGGCACGTCCTCGACCGACGTCTGAACCTGCTTGGAAACCTCTTTTTTTCCTGTGGTCGAACGCCCTGCTAGGGCCACGCGGAAAAACGCCTGTCATCGCCGTCGCTGCACTTCTCATCATTGCCGTCGCTGCCCGTGCCGCTCTGGGTTCCCAGCATGTCCTCGACCGACGCCTGGAACTGCTTTGAGACCTCGAGCGCCTCCATCTCGTTGATGCCGTGCCAGGCCGCCAGCTTGTCGAACTCGTGCTTCCAGCCCCAGGCCGTGGCTTTGAGCTCCATGATCTCGCTGACGGCGCTGCCGAGATCGGACACGGTGTCCTGAAGGTCGCTACCCTCGAGGATGCCCGTGTCGTCGCTCTCCGTCTGCGTGCCAACGTCCGCAAGGGTCGCGCTCATCGCCGACTCGTCGTCCAGGAGGGGGAAGACAGGCACAGCGGGGAGCCCCAGGCCATCGTGTAGCATCTTCACGTCGCCATCGACGTCGTGCTGCAAGCTCACGTCGTACTCCTCGAGGTCCACGCCGTAGCTGTCGAACAACGTGCCCTGAAACACCTCAAGGTAGGGCACCAGGTCCTCCTCGCCCTTGCCGCGGAGAGAGGCCTCCATCTGGGCGAACAGCAGGCGGATCTCCGCCACCGTGACGCAGCTATTGCCGTCCACGTCCCGCTCCGCTAGGCGGCGAAGCACAGACCGAGCAGCCGATCTGGATCCGTCAGGAGGTGTGCGGCGCTCACTTGCTCCATGATGCAGCCGAGGAACGCCCAGCGCCCGAACGCCAGCAGGTGAGCCCGGGGGGCCTCGGCGGCCATGAACTTCACCATCTTCTGCGCCTCGCACAGCTTCCTTGCGAGCAGGCGCCGCCTCTGCGCGGAGCCAAGCAGCATCGTGGGTGCGCCGTGGGCTGCACGCTCTCCTCCTTCTTCTGCTTATTCCGCTTCTCCTTATTTTTCGTCCTCCCGTTGGTGTTGACCACGGGCCTGCGGCGGATCGGGGAGCGCGACTCCGAGGGCACCCTCCTGCCTGCATCCACCATTGGCCTCGAAGATGCCGCCGACCTCCGCGGCGGAGTCCTGGGCCTCTTGTGCTTGTGCTCGCGCGCCACCACAGCACCTGGCCATGGTACATGCGCACCTCCTGCCGCATGTCCAGCACCATGGCCCTCGCCGCCCTCTGGTCCAGCGGGCCTTCCAGCCCCCATCGCATCCAAGGGCAGACAGTGCCGTCATCGTCGAAGATCACAACCGCCAGCTTGGTCAGGTCGCCAAAGTCCTCGGCGAAGGAGCGCACGTTACGGCCGGTGCGGCCGATGACGCTGGAGCCGACGACCGGCTGCAGCATCAGCGCGCCCAGGCGGCAGCCATTCAGCTCGGCGGGGCTGCGCCGCTGCGAATCGCGCCCCGCCACGGGCCCCCCTCGGGCCCCACGGCGGCTAGGAGGAGGAGGAGGAGGAGGAGGAGGAGGAGGAGGAGGAGGAGGAGGAGGAGGAGGGGGAGGAGGAGGAGGAGGAGGAGGGGGAATAGGAATAGGAATAGCAACATGACGGTATCAAAGCAAGAGAGAGCACTACCCTCCAGGCTTCCGCCGCGCAGCCCGTTCAGCTGCGCTTGCAGGCTTGAGGACGGCACCTCGATGAAAGCGGTCAATATGAGACCGCCTGGTATCATTGAGGAATTCAGATCCAAGACGCTCCTGCCTGAGCCAAACTTGCAGGTTAGCTGAAAAGAAAAAACCGCAAGCCCCACATATCCAGACCCTGAGTGACTGGTGCGACGATATACGATGAGATTCGTGAGCCCACCCCCCAGCTAGATGCAGCTTCCTCCTTGGCCCCCGAGTAATTACAGAGTCGACATGTTCAAGTGGCACACACAGGGATGCTAGCCATTCTTGGAGGGTGGATTTCGTGCCGCTATTCTGGCACGTGGTAGGAGGAGGAGAAGGAGGAGGAGGAGGAGGAAAAGGAGGAGGAGGAGGAGGAGAAGGAGGAGGAGGAGGCGGAGGAGGAGGAGGACGGAAGAGGGAGGAAGCGGGGGAGGAGGAGGGAGGAGGAGGAGGACGGAGGAGGAGGAGGAGGGAGGATGAGGAGGAGGAGTGAGGAGGAGGACGGAGGAGGAGGAGGAGGAGGAGGAGGAGGGAGAAGGGGAGGAGGAGAACACGTGCCGAGCGCCGGGGAGGCGCGCGAGCACACGGCGGGGCCGCTTTTTTGGGCCCCGCGTGTGCACACACACACACACACACGCACGCACGCACGCACGCACGCACGCACGCACGCACGCACGCACCCACACACACACGCACACAACACACACAACACACACAACACACACACAACACACAACACACAACACACAACACACAACAGACAACACACACACAGTCCTCTACACACCCCAAGCGCGCGCTTCTGCACACGAGCAACGGACATCTCCATCCTTTCTCCTGAAACGAAGAACTCCTCCGTGTGGCACACCCAGACGTGTCAGTCGGGCGGGCCGGGCGTTTCGCCTGAGACGCTCTCACCATCTGCGATCCTAAAGCTTGGGATCCCACCAGCCCTCTGGGCGCAGGTGGTCCAGGGCGGCTCCTCTTCCAACCCCTTTCTTTCCCTTCGGGGAGGGGTTTACCAGTGTTGCTTATCAGTATACACCCCCTCTCCCCAAGGCGACCAGCGTCCAACCAGGAACCATGAGGACACCATGCCGACCCGCCCCCCGCCATCCCTATCAAAAAATACCAGACAAACCGCACTCTGCCTCCACATTTGGAACATGTGCGGCCAACCCGATGCGGCCCCCCCCCCATCATCCCTGTGAAAAATAATAATGTAAAGTGCACTTGAGGGCACAGTCTTGAATAATGTGAGTGGGGCCCGAGAACATGTTGCTTCTGTTTTGGAGAAGGACGGCGGGGGTGCCAGCATATTCCCTGCCGTGCGCAGGGCTACCATCCCTGACAAAAGCCAATACAACATGCACCCCGCGGCTAAATCTGGATCATGCGCGGTCATCCCGCGATCACTGTCACATTGTTTTTGATAGGGACCGCGGGGGTGGTGGCGCGTGGCCTGCTGTGTGCAGGCCCACCAGACTCAACGATGGGCATTCGTTTTCGACAAGGATGGCTGGGGCCGACTTGTTTCCCGATGTGTGCTGTCACGTGCGCAGGCGCACCTGCCGAACTCTGCGCGTGCCCCGAACATGACGCACCTGGCGCGGCTGGACGTGCGGCACACCTGGCGCACTCGGAGCACGCACGTGGCGCATCTGGCGCACCAGGTGCCTTGCACGCTCGGGCCCTAGGGGTGCCTGGCGCGCGTGGCGCCCCTGGCATGCGTGGCGCACCTCGGCCAAGAGTCACGCACCTGGGGTCGGCTTTGGTTCCCAGTAGCTGTCCATCCAAAGACGGCCGCTGAACATGCTCAGGTTCGGGTGTTACTTATGTGTTGGGAGGACGGGTGGAAGTGAGCTGGACGGCTTGCGGGCGGGTGGGTAGCTTGACCCCTCCCCCTACCCCTCCACTTCTGCTTCCTTCGAGGGGCAACCCGAATTGAAGCTCCCCTCTTCTTTGATAGATGTTCTCCAAGATGGCCCCAAGAAACGCCCACGAGGCCCCAATCTGTCCCAAGATGGCCCCAAGATGGCCCCAAAAGGTCGCCATGAGGCCCGCAAGAGGCCCCCAAGAGGACCCCAAGCGGCCCCCCCGAGGCTCCAAGAGCCCCCCAGGACCGCCAAGAGACCTCCAAGACGTCCCAACGGGCCACCAAGAAGCGCCCAATAGATACACCAAGAGGCCAAAAGACATTTGGCCCTTCTGCCCTCCTCCTCCTCCTGCTC